TCAGCAATGAGGGAACTGTCCCAACAGCCGCGACAAAACTGCTTTAGAAGATATAGGTTTCTCTCTTCTTCAAATATCCCACCTCGTCGAATAGCTGTGCTTAAGAGTACTTGTAATCTGTGCAGGTAAGTTGAAGGCTTCTCACCATTGTTTTGGAAGCTATTCATAAATCTGGCTAATAACTCATCTCCGTCTTCTACAGAGCCATATACAGACTCCAGCAATTCCAGATATACTGCAGGTAAACTGTTAGGGGAGACATGTTTAACAATATCTGCAGCAGGGGGAAGCAGACTGTCTATGATTTTTCTGGCTCGATTTAAGTCAGATATAGAAGGATCTGTCAGTAGGAGATCAACACTGGCACGCCAAGTGTCAAAATCTGGCTCATTAACAGGTCTAGGAATTTTTCCAGAGAAAGATCGGAGGCGAAAAGAGGTATGGTGCATTGGAGCTGTGTCATTTGTGCGGACAATGTGCTCAACTACTACCTTTTGCACGCTAGGAGGATCAATTATGTCCATGGTAAGTGCTGGATGGGATGACACTGTTACTGTGGGTTTAGTACTTCTATGGTTAAGGTTTTCCTTGGACAGGTTTTTTGAATTTGTTGATTCAACTTCATGAAATTGTGAAATTCTAGATGAAGGAAAAGCTGTTTGTTCAGTAATCATACTTTGTGATATGACTGGGGACAGCAGTCTATTTGGTGAACTGACTGTGCTACGATCAAGTATTTGAGAACGTGCTGCATTTGGAAATTCAAGCTTTTTATCCAAAACAGGTAGTGACTCAGCATGAGAAGGACCAAATTTAATTTTCAGTAACTCTGTTTGGAGTACTTCCTCAATGGATTTCCCACTAAAACTAGCAATGTTTTGCAATTCCTCCAGATATCCATTAGTAGCACTATCACTAGCAATATGGGGGTAGATGCAGCTTAAAGCACGTACCATAAAAGTGGTACTTGGGTTTGACATGCTAACTACAGTTAAAGGCAAAAGAGGCATCAATGTTTTCATCGCGGAGTTATGTGTAAACTCTATGATAGCATGTCGATGAAACTCACAATCAGGGTCATCAATGAGAAGATGTCGGTTAATACTACCATATCTTAAAAGCCATGACTCTAAATCTGAGTCTGTCTCAGTCAGTGTCATTCCACCCACAATTACTGCTTTTGAGATATTTACATTCTCTTTTTCTATGATATCCATGACGTTAAAGTTCTCTCCGATTTGTAATATTTATAGTGAACTCGAATACTGTAATTAGACACTGTTGTTGCAATCTCTCTCCTGGCTGGCTCTCGCCACTTTTTGGTATGTAACCCTCGGTACACAAATGTATTATAAGATTTAATCAATGGACCAGATGCTCAGAAGTCTAAATTCCTCCAAAGAGAGAGAAGATACAACAACAGTGAAGGACTCGGACACAGAGGTAAGAATAATAAAAGATTGTATTGTAAAATGTTCACTGAAATATATATAAAAATAAATAAAAATAAATAAAACAAATTCTAGATTTTTTCACACTTATCTAATGACCTCAATCTTATTTACACTCTCTAATAACACTTCTCTTTCTTCACAGGCTATATCACTAATAAGGTAAGTTAATATTGTTGTTTTTTCTGTTTTTCTATTGTTAAGGCTAATATTATATTTTGGTTACTATTATAACAATAATATAATACTAATATACTAATAACAATACTATATTAAAGGTTTGTAAGCGTAAATTAATAATACAATATTAAAATTGTATTATTATTTAACATATAATCAAGATTTTCCTTCTTAAACCAGTTAACCTCTCTCTATAAAGATTCAAAAATTTCAACGAATGAACACTCTAAAGGAACAATGTACAAATAAAATAAAATGAAAATAAAACATTCACTTAAAACATTTCAAAATGTTCCAAAAGTCCAGTAAAGGTGATAAACTTTCAAAAAGATTCTTTTGCAAAACAACTAGGTTGCAAATTCAGTTCCAGAGATCCAGGATGTTGCACTTGTGAGTGTGTTGTAAATTTACACTCCTACCATGACGCTGAATAGGTTTTACTTTGTATCTTTTCAACAGGTGTATCCAAAGAATCCACTCAATGGGAGGCTCGCCAGTCCAACTCCACAATTAGACACGCCGATGGAAGTTGAGACAATCCAAATCCAGAAAAGAGTTCAAACTTCAATTAATTCGAATCCAGAGCAGATCACATCCAGCAACTGACGTCAATAGAACATCTCACCGATGAAAAATCAGAAGAAGATGCACAAACGAACAAAACCAAGGAAAAGAAAAAAAAAAAAAAAACCTGGCCAAGGAAATCATTCAAAATCAAAGCGAAAAAAATAGGAAAACTCCAGGTGGCACTCGTGTGCAGATTTCACTCTCAGAGACAAATCTTGTCTTTTTCTCTCAATCATCTCTGCTTTCCCTTGCGAACACTGAATCACCATAGCAACGGTAAACACAAGCTAACAGACAAGCGAGATTTGTTATTGTTTGGAAAGCTGATCTGCTGCTATAGTGTAAGGCACGATGATGTCATTCTAAAGCACTATTCCCTTGAATGCTGTATAATACTCTATTATAAATTATTTATATAAGTAAATAATTTTAATGTATATTATTTAATCGAGTATTCTGCCAATGTTTTTCCTTATATTTCTATTTGCTCTATTGCTGTATACTACCCACTAGTAACCTGGGTTACAAAAAGAATAAAGAAGAAGAGGAAAACATAAGAGTGCAATCTGTCGGACGCAGCACAGTGCTCATTTAGTAAAGGCACAGCTAAACAGATGTGTTTTCAGTCTTGATTTGAATATGCCTAATGTTGGAGCACATCTGATCATTTCTGGAAGCTGATTCCAGCAGCGAGGGGCATAGTGGCTGAAAGCTGATTCACCCTGCTTTGACTGAACTCTTGGAACTTCTAGTTTATATGATCCTAATGATCTGAGTGATCTGTTGGGTTTGTATTCAGTGAGCATATCTGTAATGTATTTAGGTCCTAGGCCATTTAGTGATTTATAGACCAGTAATAATACTTTAAAATCTATTCTGAATGTAACTGGCAGCCTGTGTAAAGACCTAAGGACCAGTGTGATGTGCTCTGATTTTTTGGTTCTGGTCAGAATTCTGGCTGCAGCGTTCTGGATGAGCTGTAACTGTCTGACTGTCTTTTTAGGAAGACCAGTAAGGAGTCCATTACAGTAATCCACCCTGCTGCTGATAAAAGCATGAACAAGTTTTTCTAAATCTTCACTAGAAACAAAGCATCTGATTCTTGCTATGTTTTTGAGATGATAGTATGCTGATTTACTAACTGCTTTGACATGACTATTGAAACTCAGTTCTGACTCCAGAGTCACACCAAGATTCTTGACCTTATTTTTTGTAGTTTGACCTTTAGTGCCAAGGTACGCATTTACATTGAGAAGCTCATCTCTGTTCCCAAACACAATGACTTCAGTTTTCTCTTTGTTTAACTGAAGAAAGTTTTGGCACATCAATTGTTAATGTCATCAATGCACTAGCAGAGGGTGTCAATGGGGCTGTAGTCATTAGGCAGTAAGGCTAAGTAGATCTGAGTGTCATCAGCATAGCTGTGGTAGGAGATTTGGTTCTTTCTCATTATTTGGCTTAGAGGGAGCATGTAAAGGTTGAACAGGAGAGGTGCCAGAATCGAGCCTTGTGGGACTCCGCATGTCATGGGTGTCCACCTCGACATATGGTCACCTATACTGACATGGTAACCTCTACCTTCAAGGTAAGATCTAAACCATTTGAGGACCGTCCCATACAGCCCAACCCAGTTTTCCAGCCTATCCAGAAGTATGCTGTGATCGACAGTGTCAAATGCAGCACTGAGATCAAGCAATATCAGCACTGTTAGCTTGCCTGAATCTGTATTTAGGCGTATATCATTGATTATCTTTATAAGGGCGCTCTCTCTACTGTGATGTGCTCTGAAACCAAATTGTCTAAACACCCCTTTAAGTTTACAAACTTGTGAACTTGGTTAAAAACAACTTTTTCAATGATTTTGCTAATGAAAGGGAGATTTGAGATTGGTCTATAATTGCTCAAGAGGGTGTTATGCAGGTTGCTCTTCTTCAAGAGGGGTTTAACAACTGCAGTTTTAAGTGAGTTTGGAAAAATCCCTGAGAGAAGTGAAGCATTTACCACTTTTAGAAGATCCATTTCTAAACAGGTAAACATCATTTTGAAGAATGATGTGGGGAGCGTGTCAAGACTGCAGGTTGATGTTTTCATAACTTGCACAGTCTCTTCTAAGATTTTACCATTAATTGCCATGAAATCAGACATCATGTCTGATTTCTTAAGTTGTGGTTGAGCTAGTTTGACTTCGACACAACTTGGCTGATTAGATGAGCTGATTGCCTTTCTGATATTATTGATCTTATCAGTAAAGAAATAAGTAAACTCATTACATTTGCTTTCAGAAAGTAGCTTGCTTGGAATCCGACTGGGGGGATTTGTGAGTCTCTATATCGTTGCAAAGAGTGTACGAGCATTATTTAAGTTGCTGTTTATAAGGCTTGAAAAGAAAGTCTGCCTAGCAGTGTTTAGTTCCATATTAAAAGCATGAAGACTGTCTTTATAGATATTATAATGGACTACTAGTTTCGTCTTTCTCCACATATCTCCCGGAAATCTTCCGGAAATTGCGCGCTTCCTGCCCGGTCCTTAAATACGTTGCACAGCCCTCTCTCCACCGCATCCCTTGTAGCTCTTCAGGTACGTCACGCACAATTTACCCCACCACTCTACAGGTAATGTTATATCACGTCGCGCGCGCAACTCCCCCCCCCTAACCCCCCACCAATCAAACACCAACTATCGCGCTACTTCCTGCAAATCAACTCTATATCCCCCGGAAATGACTTTTTCCAACTTGGGATGTCTGCAGGTGTAACGCTTCTCTTCCTGAAGACGCAAATCACTCAGGCGGACACAGAGAACTGCGTTCTGCGTTGTTTATTTTGTAACAGAAATATACATCCTCTGGCAACAGTATGCATTTAAACATGCATCGCCTTTCTGCATTCAGCAACCATTTTCTGCTGTGTTGCCACATAAAGTCATTTTAACAAAACATTAGTTATTTACAAAAGTTCAACATACCTGTAACAGAAATATACATCCTCTGGCAACAGTATGCATTTAAACATGCATCTAAAAAACCAAACAAATAGTAAGAAATCACCCCGGCACATATTAATGTCATCATTCCAGCTATACATAGCATGAGCAAATTAAACCACACAAAGTTTGTCACACACGGCAATCACTCGACAGATTTGATCTAAAACATCACTTAATGTTCATATTGGACTTGTATGTGTTATTAATATGTGTTAAAATACAAAATTTGTCACATTTAGCTGGAGCACATTTTACCTACCGCCTTTCTGCATTCAGCAACCATTTTCTGCTGTAGGCGGGGCTTTGCAGGTGAAAGGTGAAAGAAACAATTACACACTGTTGCCACAAGAGGTCTCTCAACAACCAGAAAATAAACAAAATAACCCATTTTGGTGAAAGACAATTAAACATTATTTTAACCCTGTTACACAGGGGCAACGTCATCTATGATCATCTTAATTTTAGAGTTAAGCAAATCAAGGAGAGAATCAACAGAATCTGCGGATATACTTGGTGCTCGCGATATGGCCTTCATAAACTGCTCACTGGTGTTCTCATTTATGCATCTCTTTCTGACAGAGACAGATCTGTCTTTAATAGCTGGAGTGATCAATATATCCAAGAAAATACAGAAATGATCAGATATTGCCACATCCTTAACAACAGTAGATGAAATGTGTAAACCCTTAGTTATAAGTAGATCAAGAGTGTGGTCAAGATTGTGTGTGGGTCCTTGTACATGCTGAGTCAGATCAAAAGTGTTAAAAACAGTCATCAGTTCTTTTACAGCATTGATTTCTGGATTATCAATGTGAATATTAAAATCCTCAGCAATACTAAAATAATCAAATTTAGAGGTTACTATTGACAACAGCTCTGTAAAATTATCAATTAAAGCTTGAGAATATTTTGGAGGTCTGTAGATAATGATCAGTAAGATACGTGAAGCATCTTTTAGTGCTATACTCAGATATTCAAAGGACAAATAGTCACCAAATGACAACTGTTTACACTCATAGACATTTTTAAACAGGGCAGCGATGCCTCCACCTCTCCTATTAACTCTGCAAACACTCAAAAAAATCAATGTTTAAAGGAGCTGCTTCATTCAGAACTGATGCGCTACAACTGTCATCTAGCCAAGTTTCATTTAAAAGCATAAAATCAAGGCAATTTGTGTTGATAAAATCATTGACTAAAAGTGACTTATTATTGAATGATCTGATGTTTAAAAGTGCTAACTTAACAGTTTTAGCTGTTTTTTCTACAAAAGTCTCAGATCTACATTTAATAGACACCAGATTCGAATTATTTGCTTTACGGCCAAAAGAAGTCTTTGGTTTTCTGTCACTTAACACAACACATATTTGCTTAGAGAAAGCTACAGACACACTGGGTTCCTGCCTGTTCTGAAAACATTTGATAAAAACACTGTTATCTAAGCAGGCCCCCGACACACATCAGTGAGAGCTTTTGTGTTCACCAGCTGAAGATGGGGCGTTGTTGTTTGGGCCCTGGCGGTGTGGCAAAAGTTGGAGGGCTCTTCCAGGTGGGCTCATAGGTGGTTGTGGAGCAGGCCGCTTTTTGGTTGGTAACTGATGGCTTGCGGCAATGGAGTGTAAAAGTTTAGTTCCAGCATACACCAGTTCCTCCATCGTTTTTGAAAAACCCAACAGTGGTGAGCAAGGTGACAATGAGAACGTGTCCGGTGACAGAGGCTGTGGGTCTGGAGATTCTGTCTGCAGAAATATGTTTTCCTGAGGATCATTTTTGAGTGACGAGACTTGATGCTGTTCTGATGCGTCACAGTCTGCCTGTGTTGAGCAGAGGGCAAGTGATAGTGTCTCTATTAACATTGGGTGTTTTGGCTGCATGACATTATCACTGTCCTTGGGTGATTCGTCAGCCACAAGTCCACTCAGGAGCTAATTTGAGGTCCTGTAGTCATCCGGACATTTGCTAGGTGTGTGTGTGCAATTCAGTTCAGTGGCATACACAGCTGATGGATGATTGAGCACCTTTGCACCAAGTTTGTTTGGATGAAGGCCATCTGATGTAAACAATTGTCTTTGGTTCCAGAAGAGATTGAAATTGTCAATGCAAGTCAGTCCTTTCTTGTTACATGTTTTCTGTAGCCATACAGAAAGTCAGAGTAGACCGAGAAAGGGGAGAGAGGAAAAGATAAATAAAAAAATTGGGGTTCAGTTCTCCAGACACGCTGCCACTCTGTCCCCCAGCAGCCGAGAGATGCAACGACGTGTTGGGAGCCCTGGGGAGGAATCTATCCACCTGTCCGTCTTCTGGGGTCCGGCAGGCGTTCTCCTGGCTGGCTGGCGGCATCTCTGTTCTCCTGCTCTGCTCCCGCTTCGGTGGACGGATGCAGGCTACGGCGTCATGGCGGATCGCGGCGACTCCCTGGGTTCTGTGGGATGGCTCCCTTTTGCGCTTTCCCTTGCGGTGGTGAGCCCCGCGTCCCCTCCTCCTGCTCATGCTGGGAGATGGCAGCAGCCAGATCCTTTCCTCGCCAGCCTCAGGCTGCCCTGGCACTCAGGGCAGACGATTGGGTTTTCCCCCATTCGGGTAAACTCCCAAACACTCGCCCCTCTCTCAGCGGCGAGGGCAACTGGACAACGTGTCCCTCCTTCTCCCGGGCTTCGGCACCACTGTAATGAAGTTCACAGCCCTTTGGCCACCGAGAAGAAGGAGGCAGAGAACGGACGCAGTTTTAACATATTTATTAATAACAGGGACAGCAGCTTCTCACGGAGACTGCAGTCTGAACCAAAACAAACGAACGGCAGCTCCTCACGAAGACTGCCGTCAAATGAAAGCAAAAGTAAAACAATATGTCCGGGCCCGGTCCTCTCTCTGTTTCCTCTGCCATCGTTCCTCCTCTTATAGTCCAGAGCTCCTCCCGTGGGAATCGAGGCTGGTGCGCACCACAGGTGCATCCACTTACGCGTGGCCTCATTCCGTTCCCACGGCTCTCGGCCACGCCCCCTCGCCACAGACTCATTGCCCAATCTGAAGCCTATTATGCATTAGTGCAGATCAGCACTACAATCATCTTTTATTGTACATTTAACTGAACATATTGTACTACATTATAAACTAAAACAGATTAAACATTCAGACAAACTTACAGCCAACGCTTTCGGCAGGATTTAGAAGACGACAGAAACTATTCACATGCTTTCTGCCTTAGTCCGTTACTTTCAGTTTCTCTAAAGAGCGAAAGTGCCAGAAACGTGTCAAAATAAGAGTCCAGCAGAAATGAGCCAAAATAAAAGTCCCAGCATAAAGACTTGTAAACAATAGCGAACTTATTCTAGAACAACAATTCATTATAAAAAATATAATACGGTTTTATTTAAATGTCCTACATGAACAGCACACAATCTTTAACAGAGGCAGAACAGCTCCACAGTGCCATTTCCCATCGGGTGGTAAGGGGTGGTTTGAGACTTTTTACCCCTGAAACTCTGAGAAGTTCAGCAATTAGACGACACCAAAACTTGCACCTTAGTCACTGTGGATACGTTCAGGTAGGCCATAGATACAAAAATATCTGTCCCACAGAACTCTGGAAACTTGCTTAGTGGATTCATCACGACACACAAAAGCCTGAGCAAGCCTTGTAAAAGGGTCAGTCACAACCAAGACGTCAACTGACTTGTTACTGGCATCCTCCTCCTACCGAAAATCAATGCATACTAGCTCTAGAGGTCTGGTAGGTGAAACGTTTTGCGGAGGAGCTCTCCCAGATGGGTCAGTGCTTTTACTCACAATACAGTGTTGACAGCGTCGCTCATAATCACCAACTGTGTGCTCCATATGCAGCCAGTAGAAACGCTGCTTTGCTAAACAGACACTTTTAAATTGACCTTGATTGCCACTGTCATCATGAATACCCCTCAGCACAGAATCAACCAATGGCGTTAGCACTATGTACTTTAAACGTTTTCTTCTCGACAACTGATCAGACAACACTCTATAAAGTATACCATCCTTCATGGTCAACTTGTCCCACTATATAAGGTAACGCTGGACTGCAGCAGATTCTCCTGTGCTATCCCATCTTGTAGGTCTTTGGCGGCTCTCCACATATGATATGACCCAAGACAACACTGTGTCTTCCAGCTGCATGTCTCGGAGATTCTCTACAGAATAAGCTGGTAATGTGTCGTGCCCAGAAGAAACTAACTGAGGTAAGTGATCTACAAGTGCCATAGCTCATGTCTCAGCACCAAGTGACCAATCTACCTGTGATGTGCAGACAGCCGAAACATCTAAACTTGCAACAGAAGAATGATCCATATCAACACCATTATAGGCGGTGCACAATTGCCGTTGCTGAATCATGCTTTCATCCTGATGTTTGTCACAGGACCACCTGAAAGCATTATGTATAGAGGTAGATGACATTCCCCTCATATCTGTCATCATGGTATCATAAGGCACCTGAAGTAGTTTTTGTGTTACTCCACTCTTGACAAAAGGTACTCTACTCAGGAAATCAGCACTGACATTCTGGGGACCGGGTACATACTTCATGTCAAAATTGTAGCTGGCCAACTTGGCCACCCAACGCTGTTCACAACAGTCCAGTTTAGGCTTTGTGAGGATGTAGGCAAGTGGGTTATTGTCAGTTAAAACTGTAAAACTATGTCCCTTTAGCCAGTGGCTAAACAAATTGACCACTTCAGGGCCAAAAATTCCAGGATAGTTTTGCTGTAAACGTGACAGGGATTTGCTGGCAAAAGCCACTGGTCTTGTCTTCATCTCACCGTCCTGCAACTGAAACAAAACTGCGCCAATGCCCTCTAATGCTGTGTTTACACCAGACACGGAATGCGCGGATAAATCGCGATGTTCGCGCGTAAATAGCCACGTGAACATTTGAGTTTACTCGCTTCATTCGCACGTCAAACCCCACTTCATTCACGCGTCAAATTCACTTCAGAACAGACACGGATTTGCATTATGGGCAGGGCTTCTGTCTGCCCAGTGACTCTAGCTTCGTTGCTAAATGGCTAACATGGATTTCATGAAGAAAATAACTGTGTTTATGTGCTTTGTGAAGGCTGAAAAACAGCATTGATACTTTTAGGGCAGTGTCTGAGTCCACTAGATTCTTTCAGAGGTGCATCCAGCTTTGTGAGCTCATAAACTCCTCCAAAAACTGTACCTGGATGACGGAGGCTTTCATTGGTGCCTCTGACTGAGTTTGATGAACTTTTTGTTGGTGTCACCTGGAGGATTTCCCCCGGGACACCTACAACAGGCGATACGTCATAATCATGCCCCCACAAGAGCAAGCTCCTGATTGGTTAACGCGGCGCGAATGTCCGGTGAAGTTCAGATTTTCCAGATCCATTTGTGCACTTTGTCGTCATTCGCACTGCGCCATTCACGCGTAACGGGCCACAGGATGTTTATTCACGCGTTTGCATTGACTTAACATGTAAATCACTCGTGCTTGACGCGCTTGACATGCATTCCGCGTCTGGTGTGAACACAGCATAA